TCTCCATTGAGCCGACAATCTCCTAAGTCCTTTATCTTGCGGCGGAATGATGCCAGCTGAATGCCTGGATGCCATTGTTCATTGTTCCAGTTCAGTTTTGTGCCCAGTATTTACCAAATATTTATGCCAAATGTCGGCCATATAGGCCAGTAATTAGATAGTCAAATAATTGAATGGATTGTCCGGGGATTGACCAGGAAAATCAATAGCACCCAACAGCAAGGCACTGCCCAAGGGTGGTTGGGTGCCCCGTGAGCAGACAAAAGATGTTCGGATCTCGGCGCGTCCATTAAATTTGTCACCCGCGGCTAAGCTAAATGTCAAATAGTACTCCGTATATGGAGACACACTCATACAGGCACACGCACTCACTCACACTCACTCTGCTCTCTGCTCTGCTCTCTGGTCTGTGGGAGAACAATAACAGCATCAATTTGACACGTACAGGCGCTAATGATGGGAATGACCAGCCAACTGAACGATCGAATCCGCCGGGGGAGGCGCCCTGCCACTGCTGCTGCCCCTGCCGGCTGCCCCTGTCTGGCGGAGACCGCTCAACATGCCCACAATTGAACCACCCAGGCTTAGTCCCTTCAGGAACTTTGACATCCTGTCGTTTCGAGCACCCCCCCTCCAGCCACTTTCCACAGTAACAGCAACAGCAACAGCCACCACCGCTCTGCTCTGGCTCTGGCTCTGCTCTGTTCAGTTCTGTTCTCTTCTGTCAGTTCAGTCGCCGCTGGTGTGAGGTGACATTCTGAGAGTCGACGACTGCCAATTTAATTCCCATTGACAAAATGCACAATTGCCGGACACCATGCCGTTACCCACTCCCATTCCCATTCCCATTCCGAATCCCATTTCCCTTTGTTGGGAATGTAACCGTTCTTGTAATTGTGATTTCTGGCTGTGACAGCCACAGAGTCCGTTCCCCACCCCCTGCACACTTGCTATTAATTATTTTAGAAAATCGCTTGTAATAACAATAAATTTATGCAACCCACTGGGGCAGACACTTTTCAGCGCTTCCTTGGGGTTTGTTCGGGCCAAAAGTTACACTGCGACCGCCGGCAACTGTTCGATTTTCACGACATTCAAATATTTGCTCGGCCATTGCCATGGCCAAGGCCAATGGTGGGCGGGGAGTCGTTACTTGTCGAACCAAATGCAATCAATGCAAATGTTTGCATTGGGCTCTTGGCTGCCTGACACTGCGGGGATTTCCCACTCAACAAGCCCCAGGTAATCCCCCCTCCTAGCCCCTCCGCATCTCTCTGGCATTCCAACCACTTTCAATTTTGACGCAATATCGATTTAATAAATTTGCGTGGCAGCCCCAGCGACAATTTGATTGACAAGTAGAGCTCGTCCCCCTGTCCGCCCCTGTGCACCCCTGTCCGCCCCTATCCACCGCTAGTCAGTCAGTCAATTTAGCTGTTGGTTAGCCAGGTTTTTTTTTTTGTCCATGTCAGTTGTTTATTTAACGTTTGTTCAGGAGCCTGCTGATGGTCGACTGCTGATACACATGACTGCGATTGAAATGGCATGGGAAATTGCTTTTGGTTTGTTTTGGTTTTTAAGCCAGTTTTGATTGTTGAGCGATTACTAGAAAATTGCCAGAAAAATGGGATATGCCATGGAGAGCAATTGAGAGCACTTTTGATCTGGTTTATCACGCATTGAAGTTCGATTTATGCTGGCGGGAATATCAAGTCCCATCGCTGCGATTCCCATGGCTACCAACAGAAGACCGTTACATTCGATGGGGTCCCTGGCAAGACCTCGACAACTTCGTTTCACACAACCTTATACTTAAATTATATTCATAAATCAAATGCCACCGCGATCAAAGAGCATGGACAGCAAATTGTTAACATCCGGGTAATTTGAATAAAAGTTCTGTGTCTCTGTAGGTAGGTACATATGTATATCTGTTTTTCCATTCAATACAGTGGAAGGTGAGAGATGGATAGAGATAGAAATAGACGCGGCAGCAATTAAAATTAGAATTCACCAACGAAATATATATTTAGGCGCGCTTAATTATGAGCCCGGTGGCATAATGAAGGTATTGTAAAGGCGTTGACATGCAACCGATAATTAAATTCCGAACAAAGGAGCGGGAGGCAGATCGGGAGGCCCCGAGACTGTATAGTTCCCACATAATAAGGATTTAGCAATAAAAACACTTGGATATGTAAATTGCGTCGGGGTCGGGTCGGCTCACAGTACGGAGAGTGCACTCCCGGGACCGGGGTTAGGTGGTGCGCCTGGGACCTGGGACCCTGGGCACTGGACCCCGATCTGATCGTCATTGTCGTGTCTGTGCATCTTGAGCGGGGACTGCGAGTGTGCCGTTAGATGCCCGAGCGGGAAACGTGCACCCGCACATAATGTGGAAAAACAGAAACTAAAGTGTCAACTTTTTGGGCTGTAAACGTTGTGGCACCCCAACCCTAGCCCCTGCCACCGCCAATAACTGCTCCGACATCCCCTTGGGCTTGGGCTCGGGGCATTTGCTTTCTAATTTGGGCACACGCTCCGCTCAGACCTCAGCGAGAGGAAACAACAACAAGGTACACAGGAGGGTCGAGGAACCGTCGAGGGGGAAATGGCATTTCCGTTTTTCACACAAGCATTCGAAAGCAATTTTTCAAAATTGAAATTCATTTCATATACTCATATAGTCGCACCATTCGAGACGAGACGAGACCAGCAACCGCGACAGTTCCATTATTCCTCCATCCATTCCTCCTCCTCCTCCCATCCACACATTCGGTATCTGTGACAGCGGATCGGCGAATAAGAGATCGTTTGGCTCCGATAATGCGGCGTACTGGCACAGGGGACCGGGAATCGGGTATCGGGTACCGAGAGCAAGTGTTGGGCAGAGTCGAACCCTTGGGGTGGGTGACAATTGTGTGGCCTGAGCGGGCGGGCGGGGGAGGTCTGCTGAATCGGAGAATGAACTTATCTTATCTTTAGAATTAGTTCTAGTTCTATGGGAGTCTGCCCAAAAATCCAATGCGTATTCGATGCGTATTTCTATCAAAGTTCTCGGATCAAATTAAGAGCAGAGGCAGAGGCAACCCTCCCAAGTCGAACGATATTTTATGCCCAGATTGATGGAAACATAAACAACAACTGCGTTGCAGTAACCATATATTTTAGCCAGAGTCTGCCTGAGTCATCCAGCAGTCGTTTGTGAGTCACCGCCCATTGGCGAATACCCTTCAACCCTTTGGCTCGGCCCACGGCTAACTATCAAAGCCTCAGCAGTGCTCAGTGCGGCAGCATCGGTGGAAAGCTGCACCACAATATCCCATTCAAAAGCAGCCAGCTCCATCATCCAACCGTCTGCCAGTCCAGCAGTCCAACAGCCACCCCACTCTCAGGGCCACTCGGTCCCTTGGCAACCTCAAACAATGAACTCATAACTCAAGTGACACTTTTTAACTTGACTGCATTTCATCATGTGGCACATGAGCGCTTCTCCGTCTCCGTCTTCGTGTTCGTCTTGAGTCTTGGGTCTTGGACTGCTTCTTGGATATCTTTTTGTTTTGTCCAACAATATTCAAATTGAGTTTTCCAGTGCACTGCCACTGGCTCTGCCTGTGCCTCTGCCGCCAGCACCAACTCCAACTCCAACTCCAGCTCCATTTCCGTCTGCGACTGTAGTCATCCATCGTTGGAAAGTTTTTTGTTGCCTGTTGCCTGGTATTTGTTAGTTGATAAAAGGCCAGGCCATTATATGCATGGCCGGGCTGCACAATTTGAAGTGGGTAAAAATTTGTATGCATGTGGCTGCCATGACAACGCCCCGCCCAGGTCCAAACGACGACCAAACCCCCCATCACCATCTTCAGACTCATCTCCATCTCCAGCTCCGACTTCGACCTTTCAATTCAAACAAGCAGCAAAGATTCTTTTTCAAATTGTCATTGCCTTGACTTGGCTTGGCTTGGCCTGTCTCGGATTGCTTTGGTTCGCTTTGGTTCGGTTTGGTTTGGTCCTTCAACGAATTCTTGGCTTTCTTTTTACAGGCAGCGTACAAATTTGTGTTGTCTCATGTCGCTGGGGCTTGTCAACCTGCCCTCCGTGGCTCCTCACCCTCACACCCAATCCTCCAGATCCGAGAATCGAGACTAGCCCCATTCCCATCCCCATGCCCATGCCCATCCTTCGTCGTCAGGCATACGGGGAGTGGCTCAACCCCCCCATTGCAAGTGCAATGAACCGCGTTTGCCTTCATCCATTGCGCAGGCTGGCGGCGTTGATTTATGTAACATCTTCTATGGTTACATTGGCCCCCCCCCCCTCGATTCCCGTTCCCCCTTGCCCATCTGGAGTGTCCCCTTCAGCCATCTCATCCGTCGCTTGTTGCCATTAAGCGCAGCTCATATGTTACCCATGCACCGGACGGGGCCATGCCGTGCCGGGAGAGAAAGAGAATCTCACACGTGAAATGATTTATTAGCGGTAATTGGTGTCACAGTGTTCCAAAGAAAAGGAAAGGAAAGGATTGCCCCCCCGCATTTCTCTGTTCTGTGTTTGGTGTTCGGTGTTCTCTGTGCCCTGTCCCCTGTACCCTATCCCCTATCCGTTGCCATGTTCTTGTACTGCCTCTGCCTGCCTGCTTCGTACTGCCTTTTAATTATCTTGATTTTAAACTTATTAAAATTGACAAATGATTTTCGTAGACAACGCTGTGGCAGGCATCTCTTAGGAAACAGGTTGTCAATGGCTGCTTCCTAGAACCCAGCCCAGCCCAGCCAAGAGAGTTGATAAATCGTGGAATGCGGCAAGAGAATTGACCCTGTAACGTTCCATTGTACCCATCACTGCTGGGATGCTGGGATGCTGGGAGGTTGCTTTGAGCAGGGTTGGCCCAGGTTGGGACTGTATCGATTGGGAGCGCTGATAAGATATCCATGTGTGATCTTTTCTCCTCCTGGAATATTATCAAATCACAGTGCCCCATTTCAATCTCTGAACTCATCTTTTATTGCTGCTTTACTGCAACTTAAACAACTTTAATCATTACACAACAGAGATGGGCTTGAGCCTTGCTTCGATTAGATCGGATTTCGGCTGCTGGCAAAGGCTTAGTGATGAGGCCCTGGCATGGCCTTGTGCTCCTTGAGGCACATGGTGATCTTGAAGGCTGTGTCGCAGTCGTTGGTGCCCTTTATGTCCTTGCAGGCATTCACGCCCGAGGTGATCTCCTCCATCTTGTCCTTGATCTGGGGCACATTCTTCAGGGTGTCCAGCAGGGCCTGGGCATTGAACTGTCCGTTGACGAGGTGGCCCTGCTTCTCCATCAGGCACTTGGTGTAGCACTTGAGGTTCTCATTGGCAGTGCCCTGCATGCCGCTGGCCATGAAATCCTTGAGGTCCGCCTCGGTCACCTGAGACGCCTGCATGCACTGCTGCATATTCTGGCGGAAGTCCGCATCGCACTACATCGATCGAGAGGCAATAAATGAGAGAGCTTACTATATACGGGAAGGACACGCCACACGGTAGCCTCATACCTGAACGACAGCCAAAACCATTGCCAGAGCAGCACAGAAAAGAGTCGACTTCATGTTTGGGTTTGTTTTTAGATTTAGCGGAGAACCGACGAAACTGTTGGAGCTCTGTTGGCCAGCTGGGGGCTTTTATACCGGGCCCCCCAGTGCGCTCCCAGTGCTCACTGCCCACTGCACAATTAAAGCAATTAAACTTTTTGCGATATGGCGGCCGGAATTTGATTACGCACAATATACACAATTATTGCACAATAGAATCTCCCATTTTTGATTGTAATTATACTCGATTATCAGTCCGCATTTGCCGCCCTCTGGGATTGGTTATGGCATGGCAGGTGCAATCCACAAAGTTAGTCACAATTAGTCAACGGCAAAAACAAATCAATTACACATTTATTGTATTCAAATTCATTCAGTTTGACAATTTTCGGCCTTTGTTTTGTGGCACAATTGATCCGCTGACAATTCGAGCCAACCAATTTACACATTCGAAGGCTTTGGCTGTGGCATAATCAGGGAAATATTTTGTTCAGCGTTGGTCTCGTTGGTGAATCGTTTGCCAAATTAGCAATGCTCTTGCCACTAATTTGGGTCACAGCGTGGCACACAGATTCCGTCAGCTGGGGAGTACAATCGGAAGAGCACTTAATATTAGTGGAAAATATGAATAAAAACAGACAGCTACAGGTACAGGTACAGGTACGCGTATGTGTGTGTTTGCTCAAATGCGACACTGTAAACTGGAAAATAAATGGGAAATTAGTTCCACCACGCAAAGGCAAACGATGCAAAATCGCGCAGGTGGGTTCAGTTCACTTTTGGCGCTGTCACTGCTTCCGATTTGCGTGCAGATCTTTGTGGGATATGGAGCCACTCACATGCATTCACGGTATGAATTCATCATATTGTATTATTCACATGAGCAATTCAGAGTTTAGAATTCTAAACCAGAGCTGAGACCTTTGTGATCGAAGGAAACATTTTATTTTTAGTTAAACTTATTTAAATGCTAACGTGATTTATTCTTTATATTCAATTGCAGACATTTGCAGTCCACACAACAGATTGCACAAGTCCGCTGTGGACTATCCATAACAATTAAACATACGGCAGCCCCGCATGGGCCATGATACACAACCGACACACACACACCCACCTGGGGCTGTGTCTGTGTATCTGTATATCTGTGGTGGGTGGAGAACAAATATAAAATACTCGGAGCTTGCATAATTCCTGGGTAAATTCAAATCAATAGACAAACAATAAGCTCAGGTTCGCAGGCCAACTGCCATTTACAGGTCTGAGGAAGCCATGTTGACAGGAGAAATAATTTATGCCTTTGTTATAAAATGCGCACCTGCCTCTGTCTCTGCCTCAGCCTCAGCACCAGCCACGCCCACACAGCCTATGTCTCTTCCTGGCTGTAAGTTGGGTTTTTTTTTTGCCAGGCCAAAGGAGCAAAGGAGGCGACTCGATGCGAGAAAGAGTCCCAATCAGAGTGGGGGGACCAGGTCGAGGCGAAGTGGTTGACAAAAGGCCGAAACCGAAACCCGCTTGGATGGCTGCTACCACTTGTCATTAGTCAGGGAGGAGGATAAGCAAAGGACATGGCCATAAAAAGGGCAATGCGAGGCGCCAGAGAGGGCAGAGAGAGAGAGAGAGAGCAGAGAGAGAGAGACTAGAGGGAAACCTACAGACGGCACAAGGTGTGTCCTGTGAATGAATTGCTGAGTAACCAATAATGAAGTAAAACTGTTCGAGTCCTGGATGTGTCATTGTGCAGGCGGTGGCGGAGGGAAACAGAGAGAGAGAGAGGACGACAGGACGACTGCCGGACACAATTCACTGTCAGTTGCATTGTTGTGACCTGATTTACATGCCCCAGCCAGCCAGCGCTGAGCTCCACCATCTATAGCAACAGCTACAGCTCCAGCTCCAGCTCCAGTACCGTCTCCAGTTGGATTTATATTAGAAATGGCAGAAGTCCCCTCTGTGGACTTTTATAGATTACAATGGTCACCGCACAAAAGCGATAGATGCAGGACCTGGCACACACACACACACACTTCCTCTTCCACCCACTCCCACTCTCACTGGCGACGGCGCCAGACGACGACGACGACTACGATGACAGGGCCAACGAAACAAAGGCCAACGTTAATGAGCCAAAAGAATGGCGCGAGCCGTAACAAACGTGGCCAACTAAAGAGCGGGGCAAATTGTAAGAAAGCAGAACTGTGTCACAATGTTTTGACACACACACACACAGGGAAGGAGCAGCCGGCTGCAGAGCAGCAAAAAGGGAATAGCAGAGAAATGGAAATAGAAAAGCAGCGGACAAAGGAACAGCAGCAGCAGCAGGACAACTGCCAGACTCTGCAGCTAGTTAAGCAGCCAAAGACAAAGTTGATAAAATTAGATTTGTATGGTAAATAGTTTGTGGGATGGCAGGCGGCTGGACGGCTGGCAGGCTGGCAGGCAGGCTGGTTGGCTCTTCCTGCTGCCCAGGGTCGTCTGCGAGGGGCAAAGTTTAATAAATGTATAAAATTAATTAGCCAGTTGAATGTTCATTAACAGCTGGCAGCAGGAACAACTGACAACTCTGTTTGGGAGCCTCCCGCTGTCTCTGCTGTCTCTGCTGGATCTGCCGTCTCTGCCGCTCTTAAGCTTTAAGGCCACAACAGCTTTAAGCCCTGTCGGCAACGGTGTCGTACCTTTGATGGTGATGCGGATGCGGATTGGGGATGTGGATGGCTCTGGGCCCTGTTAGAGCCAGCCAGAGCAGCTGTCAAGCTGCCTCAATTAATTCTCAGCAGTCAGTCAATGAAATTTGTTGTTTTCGTCTACTCTCCCTCTTTTCTGAGCTGGCATTTTCACACCTCCCGCCTCGCACCGACTCCGACTCAGACTCAGACTCGACCGCCCACCCGCTGTGCTCTGGCCAGGAAAAGGGGGAAAAAGCAAAAGAATGAAAAGTGAAAACAGCCGAAAAATGAATTTTAACCTTTCCCAATTGCAAGCCACATGAGCTCTTTGTTGGCTGCAAGCGTTTTACGCTTTTGCGGCAATTGACCACAAAAGAGCGGCCCAGAGGGAATGCAGATGGGACCGAGGATACAAAATCGAAATTATATTTCGGACATTGTGGTAAAATAATTGGATTTCGAGGAATAATAATGCTGGGTATAGGTTTGAGGAGTTGAGTTACGCGCACAGGAAACATAGAGAGAGAATGGAGTGGAGTGGAGTGGAATCCGAATCAATTCTGAATGTTAATGTGTTGATGGTCGAAAAGGGAAGTGGATGTGGAACCGCGCTGTTAGGATGTGGTTTTGTGGACAGCATACATACATACATACATAGATAGATATCTATGGGAATTTCAAGATTGAATCAATGCAACAATGAATTAAATATATAATATTCTGGTATTTAATGCGAACAACTGCGTGGGACTCAGGGACTCAGTCATTGACTCATTTCTCTGTCAATGCTGACTGAACTTTAAAGCCAGAGGCGGCAACTTCCTAAAACTTGAAAAGTATTTACCCAGAGATTTACCCAAGACCAAGGAATTATTTGTGTCTGGCTGCTGCCTGCAAACAGAATCTGTGTAATTTACACTCGTCTATATTTTGGACAGCTATAATTGGAATCGGGATTCACGGCCCTTCAATTGCGTCGCCAGTCAATGCCACACTCCCGGCCATGCCATACACATGCGATGAAGAGGAAAAATTCAAAATGCGAACGCACTGAGTTATTGAAATTAAGCATCAAGTGTCAGGGCCAGGCACTGGCACAGGCACTGGCACTGGCAGGGCGGAGGCCAATTCGCTGTCTTCGGGGCGAGTCAGGGATTGGGGGAGGGGGGGCACACACAAAAGCGCACAAGTCCTTCCACATGCAGCCAAATCAGCAGGAGTGGAACTTTGGGAACGAAAGAAAAAAAAACATTAAAATGGATGCCTGACAAGTGGCAAAAGAGCAAGGAATTTGAATTTGCGTGGAAGTGTTTTTTTTTTTTGGGCAAAAATAAAGTCGGAGCAGACGCAGCCGAAGACAATTGCCCGAGCAAATGAAATCAGGCACAAGGATGGGAGCGGTGAGGGGAATTTGACGGAGAGTGGGGGACTCTAAATACGAGCGCGTCCCCACACACACAAGTACAATTTACATGCGTACGTGTGGCAGGGACAGCGGCGGGGGCAGGGGCAGGGGCAGGGACTCTGTGACATGTCCTTAGGATATTTGTATGCAAACAGGGCACAATACTGAGCTCTGAAATCGATATGCGGGCGCGCGCCTCACAAGGAAGTTGCAGCTGAGCGGTGCGGAGCGGAGCGGAGCGGGCGGGCGGCTTCCAACTCCAACTTCATCTCCTTATCCATCTGCCTCTCTCGAGCCACATCTCTTCGACTGGCAGTTGACAGCCATGTGCAGCGGCGCAATGAAATGAAAAATGGTGAGAAGGAGACCCAGACGTTGCCTGCAGCTAGCTACAGACTGCCATGCGGAGTTTAAGGACCCGCGGCGACAGCAATGGCCCGCTGACAGCCCCCCTTCCACGAGTACGTATCCATGTGTGGGTGGGGCGGGGGTACTGATATGTGATATTAGTTTGATCTATTGTGATTTTTTTCAGGGCTGCAAAAGGTTCGTTCGAAAGGGAGCGCATTCCCTTAAACCTCGCTTTCGAATCGTTGGATAATAATAATACTTGCACCAGAGTACCATCGGAACATGCCCAGTTATTCATATCCCTTATGGAATACCAAGGAAGTACCAGAAGTATTATTATTATGTTCGTAGAATAATATTCCTGCACGATATACACAAACTGTCACTGCGATTGCATAGATAAATCATTTCTATATCCGCCGATAGGTGAGTGGACTAGGCAAAAGGAGAGTATCATAACAGTTGTTTTCAGCTGAACCACCTAATAATGGATTTTCACAGTGAATTTGCGACGCGGCCTTCCATCAATTCCAATAAGAAACATGATTTTGCAATTTTCCACTGCAACACTTGGGAATTCTGGGGGGGGGGCAGGAGAGCCGGCAGCAGCACTCGCTGAAAGTTCTC